GTGGATCTAAGTTTAAAAGATGCAGAATAAAAATTACTATAAAATTATATATTGATGTTTATCATGTTTGCTTGACATCTACTTGGCACTTTTTTTGTTGCCTTAATTAATGAAATTCTAATATATTATTAAAAATAATTATTGGAAATTTGGAATTGATATTTTCAGAAAATCAAATTTTTATTAAGAGTCAATATATTTATGCAAATATGTTTTTGTTTGAACTCTTCTTCTAGATTATAACAATATCTTTACTTTTCAAGTAAATTTATTAATATAGTAATATAGTTATTTTTCCTAAAATTATTTTTCTACATTTATAAAATATTATAGACATTATAGAAATTAAAATTCATGGTGAATAATTTTTAGAATTTTCATTCATTGAAAAACTTGGAAAGATTGTTCGATTGTCAATTTCTTGAATTTACAGTACTCTCTGATTTTAAAAAATAAACAGAAATTATTTTGGTAATTATATTAGAAATTTTATTTGATATCTTCCTAGATAATTTCAAATTTAAATCAGGTATACTGTGTAACCAAATTTTCATGCACTTGTAATCCAGGGTCGGAAAATTCCAGTTTTATTGATTTTATTCAATACATTTGAAAAAGAAGAAATTAAGTTTTATATAATATAATATATGAATCATCATGCCCCTATTTGTAAAAATTTATTTTAGTTATTTTATTTATAATAAAATATAAAATTAAAAATTTTTCACATTAAATTTATTTTGAATTGTAATTAATTTTTATAAGGTAAAAATTTTTAATTTTACTTTAATCTAAAATTTATATATTTATATGTAAATATAACATGTGTAGTTGTAATTTTGTAATTAAATATTAAAAAGTTAATACTATTGATAATACTAAGCAGAAAAATAAAAAACATTTCTACTTAGTATCAACTTGATAACATCAATATGAAATCTGTATTAAAAATTACAATATAATCAGTTACAAAATTGATAATTGCATACTTTTTTTAAAACAAAATAATTTTTTTTACATGACACTCTTTTAAATTTGCTTCTTAAAAATTAATAATTATTTTTATTATATTAAAATCCATTTATTTTTATTATATGGATCTTAAATTTAATTTTATTTACTTACCGCTTTATTCATTTTTAATAACTCCTGTATAAACTTACTCATTATTGATACCATCAATAGGTTATATTTCAATTCTTCTTTAAGGAAGAAAAAATTATAAGAGATACTATAATTTTTCAGTCTGCTAGAAATGATCTAAAAGTATTTCTGAAAAATATATTAAGCACAAATTTTAGCTTTTTTGAAATATTAATTTATTCGAACAAAATAAAGACATAACATAATAAAAAAATTTTTTTAATAATGTTGTTATGGATTCTTATATAATTTTATGATTTTGTAGTGAAGATAATATATCAAAGAATATATATATATATATATTGATTTAAAATAAATAGAAAACTGTGTTTTAAATTTGATAAAAATTCAAGTAACAGCAGAATTTATAAAACTGTAAATAACATTTATAATCTGTTTTATCCTTTGAATGTTTAATTAACATAAGCTAATTTTTATACAAAATTGTTCTTCTGATTCTTCTGACTTATTTTTATAGATGCAATGAATATATTTAATTATTATATATATGGATTTTTTTCACATTTATATGTATTATATGCAAACACAAAGAAGACAGTTATTTGTATATTCTACTAATGCATTTGAGTTATTAATAAAACAAGACATATATAAGTATACTGAATACTTCAGATGATGTAAAATTTTTACAATGATCTAGATTAATCTCAGTTAGTAATTTTAGTGGGTTAATCATATCCAATAAAGTTACTGCTGAATATTAAATATATAGAGAACTCTTGTTGAATTTCAAGATTATTATGATATATTTAATTTTGGATAGTAAATTTATATCAATAATCTTGATATTCATCAAGAGTTTTCTCTCTATTTCATACAAACATATAAATATGAACATAAAATATTCAAGATATGTAAAATATATATTTTAAAGATGATTTTAAAAACTGGATATATTTTTCATGAAAAAATTCTCACTTTTTAAGTGTTTGGAAATGCACAAAGTGGAAATTAATAGCTATTTTAATAAATTTAAATACTTTTTTTCAAAAATACCTGAAATTAATGGTCACATCTTAATTTTACTTCTTAACTTTATCATGAATTAATTTTAATAATAGATTATTTCCTTCATATGCTTTTATATTTTTGAAATTACTTATATTAATATTAAGGTTATAAATATTTTCAGTTATTTATATACTTAACATTTTTAGAATTTTAGATGATGAATTTTGATTAATCATTTCTAATTATATAAATTTATATTCTTTATAGTGTATTAAATTTTAAAATTAAAATTTGTTACATATTAATAATTTTTATTTTTTTATATACAGTAATTTTAAGATGATATATTTTTACTTTTGATACATAATAATTTGTGCACAAACCTTATAGAACTTTTCCTCAGTTTATATATTTATTTATTTTAAAGTTTTCTTATTTAATTTTATTTACAGTTTTTCCAGCTATACATTCATCATCATTTATTACTAGAGAAGTTATTAATAACATCAGTTTGTTATACACTGTCAAAGGAAATGATTCATCGTTAAAGCCTTACCTTCTAAGCGGACATCTCGACGTTGTGCCTGTTGATGAAACACAATGGATGGTTTTTCCATTTGGTGGAATAAAAAAAGATGGTTTTGTATATGGAAGAGGAACAATTGATGCAAAACATATAGTAATGGTAGGCTTTAATTTTCTATAAATGAAGTAAGGTAATCTGCTGTTTAAAATGTTTTTATCATATAACTTCCTTATTGTAAAATAAAATTCTGGAAAAAAAATGGTGTAAAAATATTAACTGATCTTCTAACATTGATTTAAATTATGATGCCAGAATAAACATGAAAATTTAATTATATAAATGTTTCATTGAAAATTTCATTGTTTGTCATGAATAATTTTGAAATTATTATTGAATTCACAATTTCTTTTAATCTATTAATAAGATAACTAGAAATTCTTTCAAATTTTAAAATTATAATTGTTATTAAATTACTAGGATATCAATCAGTTTTCATAGTTGAATTTCTGTTAATCTGGTATAATCTGTTTCATTCATCAGTGTGTTAAATATAATAAAACAAATTAATTTCAAAATTGTTTTCATCTGGAAAAATCTTTACACACAGGATATAGATAAATGAAATATCCCAGTATACTGGTTTTGATACAGAGAACCGTTAGCCTGAAAACTAAAATTACTAGGAATAAAAATAAGTTTCTTATGTCATACAGTATATTTCAATTTTTTTCATATTGCAATGTGGANAAGTAACAACATGTAAAATTTTTATTTGTTGTACAGTTATTTATAATTGTGTGGACCGAAAGATAATTTTTGGGAAAATTGAAAGTATTATCAGGTTTATACGTTATCGAAGGTATCAAGGTACAGTCGACTCCCCCTGTAACACGGGAGATACGTTCCGTTCTTTATGAAATTGATGTTCTACGAATCCTTAAATACATGAGCCAATCACAGCCCGGCATGTATGCAGTTTACAGACTACGGCTGTTTGAAAGGTTTTCTTCCATAAAATTAATTGATTCTAGACTAATTCAACTCGACATTTCCAAAATACATATAATTTTTTGGGAATAATCCATATAAACTATGCTATAAACAAAAAATTGTAGGATTACTTACAGAGCGTGCATTTTGACGACGCCATTGCTTAAGCTTGTTTCGTTGTGGAGCGGTGCATCGAATGGCGCTCGCATGCTTCCTGATAAATTATTTTTCAGCAAAAACATTTTTGCTGAACTTTGGAGACATCATTAATATGAATATAATTTTTATGGCCGTTAAATAATAAATGGTTTTTAGTAGGTCCACTGCTTGTTTAAACTCAATGGTTTGTGCAATATCTGCTATTGGTCTAGATTTGACCATTCCTGTCACAACACGAGTCGGCAATGATGATTTGCTGAATTATAAGAGTCTCTTTTAGCGTGTTTATACGAATATGGTTGCAATTTTTCACTGTCATGTAGGAATCCGAACTATATGAACCCATTTTATAGGGGGTCTACTGTATATACATTTTGAACTAGATTCCATCGACACAAACTCACATTAACATAAATTTAAACTATGGAGGATATTTAAATCATAGGAATTAATGTGAAATTAATTGATTATTTATTCGTTTATGGCTTAAATAATATACGTGTATTGAAATTTTATCCCAAACANAATGGCGTTGCATGCTTCCTGATAAATTGTTTTTCTGGGAAAATTTTGCTGAACTTTGGAGACATCATTAATATAAATATAATTTTTATGGATGTTAAATAATAAATGGTTTTTAGTAGGTCTGCTGTCTACAGAATAAATATGAATCTTTACACTAAACTCAACGGTTTGTGCAATATCCGCTATTGGTCTAGATTCGACCAATCCTGTCGCGACATGAGTTGGCGATGACGATTTGCTGAATTATACGAGTCTCTTTTAGCGTGTTTATACGAATACGGTCGCAATTTTTTCACCATCATATAGGAATCCGAACTATATGAACCCATTTTGTGGAGGGACTATTGTATATACATTTTGAATTAGAGTCCACTGACATAAACTCACATTAACATAAATTTAAGCTATGGAAGATATTTAAATCATAGGAATTAATGTGAAATTAATTGATTATTTATTCGTTTATGGCTTAAATAATATACGTGTATTGAAATTTTATCCCAAACATATAAATTTTAACATAAGGTTTTCAAATCACATAATCAGTCCAAACTTTTAAAAAACATTCTATTTTCATTAGCCATTTGTTCGATAACATATATACCTGATGATGTCTATTTCGCTGAGATGAAAACGTTCATAAAGTTTCTTCTTTTCTGGTTATTTGCTGGTGTTGGTTTTATGAGTGATATATATTTACACAAATCAGTTCTTGAGATGTATTGAAAATATTAGCTAAATAGACATTTGTTCTGGTTATCAACATTTAGTTNTATATACATTTTGAATTAGAGTCCACTGACATAAACTCACATTAACATAAATTTAAGCTATGGAAGATATTTAAATCATAGGAATTAATGTGAAATTAATTGATTATTTATTCGTTTATGGCTTAAATAATATACATGTATTGAAATTTTATCCCAAACATATAAATTTTAACATAAAGTTTTCAAATCACATAATCAGTCCAAACTTTTAAAAAACATATTTTTGTTAGCCATTTGTTCGATAACATATATACCTGATGATGTCTATTCCGCTGAGACAAAAACGTTCGTAAATTTTCCTTTTTTCTGGTTATTTGCTGGTGTTGGTTTTATGAGTGATATACATATATATTTACACAAATCATTTCTTGAGATGTATTGAAAGTATTAGCTAAATAGACATTTGTTCTGGTTATCAACATTTAGTTTTTAATCTTGATAACAAGTATAACTTGATAAGAACTTCCTATACTACTTTTTAGTCAGTAAAAATATAAACATTGAATAACCTGATTCTTGATTAATACCAAACAGTCTGTCAGTTCTTATTGGGCTATATCATGTTTACATTTAATAATAAGATAATGAATAATTTTTGCTTAGAGATAGACATTTTCTTTAAGAGTTTTTGTATCCTTTACTTCACAAGTCTAAAAAATCTAATAAGCATAGCTGTATTTATTAAAAAGAAGTAATATGGTTGATAATTTGCAATATCAGTTATTTGATTGGATTGATAATCATTATATTTGAAGTTATAAAAGTATATAATTTATTTTTTTTTATTATTCTTGGGTTGATTCTATTAATAAACCTATTAACTGAAATTGAATGTATACAGAAAATCATATTTTAACATTTTATTTTGTTTATTTTAGCAAAGCAAATATGTGCTATTTTATTCTGTTTAATATTAATTTCTAATATATTTGATTCAAATAAATGTTCTCATTCATTAATAAGATTGATTCAACAGCATTGTATCTGATTTTTGAAAAAAAAAGGAAAAATCATCTACACATACAATTTGCTACATCATTTAAAAATGTATTTGTTATAAAGGTAATTGATTTCCTAATATTTTTATTGAAAATATTAGGAAATCAGTTGAAAGTAAATTTTCAATTGATAATAAACACTAAAACAAATCATGGAATTTTTTGATATTCTTTTGTTCATTTCCAAATTGATTTGAAATTCAATAATTGAATATCACAATTTTTACACTAATACTTTTGTGTATTGTTGCCACATGAAAAATATTAGCATTTCATTTTGATTGAATTATAGCTTTGTAATAATAATTTTTATATCATCATTAATATTACCAAAAAATAGATGGCTAATACTGTTTCATACTCTAGTCAAAAATATTTACTATTTCAAAATGTATAAAAAAATATTTTGATTTTATGTATTTGTTAGAATGCAAAATAAATAAACATCATAATAGAAAATTATTTTAATTATTTATCTTGTTGTCTATTTTTGTGTTTTTAAATATGCTAAATTTCTTGGTAGATTCNTATTTTTGTTAGCCATTTGTTCGATAACATATATACCTGATGATGTCTATTCCGCTGAGACAAAAACGTTCGTAAATTTTCCTTTTTTCTGGTTATTTGCTGGTGTTGGTTTTATGAGTGATATACATATATATTTACACAAATCATTTCTTGAGATGTATTGAAAATATTAGCTAAATAGACATTTGTTCTGGTTATCAACATTTAGTTTTTAATCTTGATAACAAGTATAACTTGATAAGAACTTCCTATACTACTTTTTAGTCAGTAAAAATATAAACATTGAATAACCTGATTCTTGATTAATACCAAACAGTCTGTCAGTTCTTATTGGGCTATATCATGTTTACATTTAATAATAAGATAATGAATAATTTTTGCTTAGAGATAGACATTTTCTTTAAGAGTTTTTGTATCCTTTACTTCACAAGTCTAAAAAATCTAATAAGCATAGCTGTATTTATTAAAAAGAAGTAATATGGTTGATAATTTGCAATATCAGTTATTTGATTGGATTGATAATCATTATATTTGAAGTTATAAAAGTATATAATTTATTTTTTTTTATTATTCTTGGGTTGATTCTATTAATAAACCTATTAACTGAAATTGAATGTATACAGAAAATCATATTTTAACATTTTATTTTGTTTATTTTAGCAAAGCAAATATGTGCTATTTTATTCTGTTTAATATTAATTTCTAATATATTTGATTCAAATAAATGTTCTCATTCATTAATAAGATTGATTCAACAGCATTGTATCTGATTTTTGAAAAAAAAAAAGAAAAGGAAAAATCATCTACACATACAATTTGCTACATCATTTAAAAATGCATTTGTTATAAAGGTAATTGATTTCCTAATATTTTTATTGAAAATATTAGGAAATCAGTTGAAAGTAAATTTTCAATTGATAATAAACACTAAAACAAATCATGGAATTTTTTGATATTCTTTTGTTCATTTCCAAATTGATTTGAAATTCAATAATTGAATATCACAATTTTTACACTAATACTTTTGTGTATTGTTGCCACATGAAAAATATTAGCATTTCATTTTGATTGAATTATAGCTTTGTAATAATAATTTTTATATCATCATTAATATTACCAAAAAATAGATGGCTAATACTGTTTCATACTCTAGTCAAAAATATTTACTATTTCAAAATGTATAAAA